CTACAGAGGGTAATCCAATCATCCTGACAGAGCTAATGCCGACGAGCCTAAGAAAGGAATTAGAGAGTGGAGGAGTGGCCTATCCTGCAATACTGAGCATCAGTTTAGATGTAGCCTGTGCTCTCAATTACCTTCATCTCTTCAAGCCTCATCCTATACTACATAGAGATGTCAGCAGTGCTAATGTACTCCTTCAACTAATGGAAGGTGGCAATAGATGGAGAGCTAAAGTATCAGATTATGGTACAGTTAGCCTTCAACCTCTTACAAGCACACGCAATCCTGGTAATCCTGTCTATTCAGCTCCAGAATCGTTCAATCCAAGGGAACATTCTCCAGCAATGGATGTCTTCAGTTATGGTGTCCTCCTTATAGAGATGGTCGTTTGCCAGTTTCCAGACGTAGGAAAGAGAGTGGCTCAGATTAAAGCTATCAAGAGGCCGACATTGAAGAATCTCATTGAACGTTGTCTGATAGAGAACTACAAAGATCGTCCAACAATGTCTGACATTATAAAAGAATTGAATGAAAGCATTTAGTGATGTAGTGAATTACCATTTTCATTTAGATTATTTTTAGTTTTAGATTTTGTTCCTTTGCTTAGTTTAAATTATTGTGTTCTTTTGACTTTTGCTTTAAATTTTTGAAAATTTAATTAAAAATTTTAAAGGGTCTCAAGTGTCCGGAAATGTACGAGAAATGTTAGCCCGTTTTTACTGTGTGCGCATGCGCAGAAGGAGCACGTGAATTAAAATGGCTGACGTTAAAGAGGTAAGACTATGATTATCCTTTAAAACACTCCTTTTATCATGCCCTATAGAATGGGGAAAGTGAATCAAGAAAGAGAAGAAGAGGATTTGATTCAGGAGTGGATGAAAGTGAGGTAGTTTTCTAGAAAATTTGATGGTAGAAAATTAAATTAATAATAATTTTATCTGTGTCATTTTTCTCTCTCTCCCAAGCATACAATTACCTGATATTATTATATTACACTACATACCGTACGCGTCTTAATTTTCGAGGTGTGTTAAATTTCGTTATTTTCGTGCTCACCTTAAATCCACGAAATTTAAACCACCTCTAATGCCATTCTATTGTATGTAGACTATGGCCAGAACACGAAAATTAGCTCACACGAATATTAACTTTTGAGCAAATTTCATTGAAAACACGAAATTTTGAACCCTCGAAAATTTGGACGTATACGGTATGTATCTCTTTTTCTTTCTTTTTTGTTTGATATCGCCATTTTGTCACTATAAGGCTAACAGAGCGATTAAAAAAGGAGGAAGAGAATCGCACATTGACAGTGATGGGAACTTTTCTCTCATTAATTAAATCATTCGTAATTAAATTTTAATTTCTCATTTATTGCAATTCTTCACTTAATATTATTAAAATTATTTAACATTATTGATATGTAAGAATTGGGATGTACATGTGTTACGAGTATTTTCAATTTTTCTTTTTTACACGTTTTTTTATTTTTGTACATGCACATTTTGTGGGTGGAGTTTTCTATTTTTAACCCTTTTGCTTTTAGTGCCGGAGATGGAGCAGACGGGGGAACTGGTGACACCTGCTACCCTCCCAAAGCTGGACAGCAATCAGAGACACGCCCTGAGCTTAGCAAAGAAATACGCTCAAGAAATTACAGCAAAACATGTGAGTTAATTAAAATGGGTGTGGTCAATTAAGTGGGTGTGGTTTTGTAATAATTTTGAGTTTGAGCTTAATTTTGTATTTTTCAATAAATGTACATGTATTTGTTGGTGGGTATTTTTAGTAACGTGTTATGTCATTTTGTATCTATTTTTAGCAACAAGCGAAGCAGAGTGAAGTACAAGTTCAGCAGATGCAGTCATTGCAGGAGGCAGCCAACCAGCAAAGAGCACTACTACTCATGAGCCGGTGAGATTATTTTATTATAAGTGTAAATATATTTTTAATTTTTTGCCTTTTTGTTCTAAAATTTTATGTACATGTAAATACACATGTAATGTATGTGTATGTTCAAAAATGATTCTTGAGAGAATTTTAATATAATTGGTATTTCAAATCTTTTAATTGTAATCAGTTATTGACACACAATAATGTATTTCTCTTTCATTTTATCTTTTCTTTTCTCTCCCTCTCCCTCCATTCCAGTATATACATTGGTAGCA